CCTGTGGGACAGGAGCGGACTGTAAGTCTATTCAGCCAAATTGGCATTGCTTTGAGCCTGACACTATTCTGTCACACGCCTCCTATGCTTTCAACAGCTACTGGCAGAACACCAAGGTGACTGGTGGTACCTGCTGCTTTGGAGGGACTGCCATGCTTGTAACAGTGGATCCAAGTAAGTTTACCACTCGCCACCTGTCTTCAATTCCTTTCTTCTTCTCGAAATAGAATTAACTCAAGACACCAACGTATGTTTTTCTCGCACACAATAACTAAAAAGGGTTAAATTATAACTTATTTTTTATGATTTGTTCTGGATCTGAAATATAGCTTTTAAAATGTCTTTAGTGTTAATATTGATAGGTTTCCTATGTTTAGCATGTTTCTTTGAAAAAACGAGTCACATAGGAAAACGGTTTGTATTTAGTCAGCCTAGAAATGTTTAAGAGATTAAATTGAACTATACAAATCAAATTTGAACTTTAAAAACCAATAGAATTAAATCAAGACTAAGCTCAAATCATAAGAACTACAGGTACGATTTCTATACTTTTTAAAACTTGTGTCATTGTTCATGTCTTTTAATTAAAGTTTATCATACAGTCTTTATTGATTCATCATTATTGGTGCTCCCTCTTATCCAAAAACTAAGATTGATCACTACAACTCATAAAAGAGATCATGCTAGTAAATCAAAGACCAAAGAGCTCTCGTTTTCTCTCTTCTTTTACTGGGAGAATTTGTCACCCTCAAAGGGGTTTCCTTATTGGTCATTTTCATAAAAACATGTATACTTTCTTCTAAGCATGAGAGTGACTTGATTGTGGCAGGTTTTGAAAGGTGTAAGTTCGTCCTCAATCGAGATTAGAAATGGAGTGGAGCCACACACTTGGTTGTGGTTCCTCATTTTTGACATATTGAATAAAAACAAGGCAGCTGCATCTCTCTCTCTCTCTACCGACCGAATTTTAAAGATTAGAGATTTATGATACTCTGTATTATTTCTCCATCAATGAACCATCAAGATTTTTTCTTTGAGAGCAACATCTTTTGTTCTGGATCTGATCCTTTTCCAACTTTCCAAATTCCTTTCTGATTAGTGCAAGAATACAAAAAGCTACTGTGCAGTCTCAGCAAACTAATGGATAGTACAATCTCTCATTTCATCAACCCTCAGTTTTCTTAGTCTTGTAGGACAACTGAACTAGTAAAGTACGAATTCTTTTTATTGGATATCTCGAGCAAGTGGCAACTCTGAATGGACACACGTCTAAGATCGATTTATTATTGACCAAAACTATTAGCTCTGTTTTTCCTCTATGGATCACTTTAATATGCAAGTCTTCATTCCTAAGCTTTAGAAAATATATAACAAGTCTCTAAACTTCTAACTTTGCGAATAGGTTTTTAAACTTTAAAAAGTGTCTACCCGGCACTAAACTTGTAATTTTATGTCTAGTACATAGCCTAATCAATTTAGGTGTTTACCAATCTATAGGTTTCTCCTACTTACTACCATTAAAAAAATTAACAGCTATTAATTTATTTTATTCATCTTCCTTAGTTGTGAATTTTCTTAATGGTGAGCAGTAAGAGATATCTACTCATGACTGATAAACACCTAAGTATTATTCCTAGTCAATTAGAAATATTGTAAAATCCGATGACCCTTATGAGACATGTCAAAGACTACACAAAACCTACCAAAAGCTATACATACCTTCAAAGTTCAAGTACCAAACTTTTAATTAAAAACAAAAAGTATTCCAAGGAATCTACTTTTCAATAACATATATTTTTGGGAAGAATTTTAGCACTTAATTCGGCCACCCTAGTCAAATATTACATTCTTTCTCATGCTTTATTCCACACTATAAGCCAAAAATAACCCACGGCTTAAAAATCAAACTCAACAGTTCAAGTTTTTAAGTAGTCAAAAAAAAAAAAAAATTTACTGTACCACAAGAGACCAAGTGAGACTTGAAGAACTCATAGTACCATACTCTGGAAGTAATTATATGTTACTGTCATTATGTTCAATTACATTCTTTTATATTTATGAAAGTGAGTATAATTTGGAGATACCTAATTAAAGTAATTATATGTTACTGTCATTATGTTCAATCACGTTCTTTACCTTTGTCAAAGTGAGTAAAGTTTAGCGATAACTGACATTATCTCCAACCAAAAAGTTGTGAGTCCGATTCTCAACCTCATGTGTTGTACTTAAAAAAAAAAATCACATTCTTTACATTTAATAGTAACACAAGATCTACTCAATAAAACAATAAATCACACACTGAGATTTTGTCAACCATAAAGGTAAAATGATCCTTAAACCTAAAAATTTAATTAATCATTAGCTAATGATTATTATTTTTAAATATAATATACTCATAACAATAAAGTGTAGGACGAAAGCTCAATTTTACAAACTTACAAGTTTAATAAATTTTTATCATAAACTTTCACTTTCATCAAATTTTGAACCTTAGATGTGATAATTATTACAATTTTTTTTTTTTTCAATTTTCACTACATTCATCCACTAATTTCACGTAAATCGGTATACTAAATCGACTCTTTAAACAAGACTCGCTAATTTTAACAATAATAATAAAAAAATCCTAGTGTCATCTTTCCGTAAATCTCATCAATTTCATGTAGGATATTTATTGTATGTGAGATTATTTTGAACCGATTGGTATAATAGAAGTAAACATTGCAACTTTTATTTTAGATCTAAGGTAAAAGTTGTAATACTTATTTTAGTGTAAGATTAAATGAAGATGAAAGTCCATGGTAAGTTCCCAGGTAAAAGTTGAAAATTTTTCGAAAAAAGTATATTGCAATAATTAGAAAAAAAAAAAGTTTTGCAAATCTGGGAAATGAAAAACCTTGAATAGATTGAGAAGAATGGAGAGAGATGATTTGAAGCAATCTAGAAATCTTGTGGTCAGCCCTACGTCTCTATATCATGGCTGTCTCTTATTTTGTCTTATACTTTTCTCGTCAATACACTCTAATTATGATATTAAATTTTTGTTGATAGGTTGATATTTCCATCGATATTTTTATAGTATTGCAAAAAAATTGATAGAACATAAAATATATCAACATAATATCACTAATATGAACATAATTGTTAAGATCGAGACCTCAACATTTTTATCGACGACTTCGACGTTTAAAACATTAACTATAATTACAATTAAACATTATTTAAAAATTAAAAATTAACAAATATCAATAATAAAATGAAAACGCCTTTTTATGTATTATGCATTTGCATTTTTCTTAATATAACACGTGGAAATGAGAATTTAAACTCACGACTTTTCGTCATAGATAGGTGTCTTAACCAATTGAGATATACTCAAATCGACTATTATACACTTACATTCATTCATATTACCATTTTACTAAAATTTAGAAACTATATATTAACCTATCTTCATAACTATTTTATGTTTTAACCGCCATAGGTTGGTTTGAGGAATACTTACCTCACGCCTTAGAATTTTCCTGCTGCCCAAGACGATATGGTCCAATAGTAAATTGATATCACACACTTTACTCTTTCAATAATAATAAATAAAAAAAAAAAGTTATACACATGTGAATTTGTGTCCGAGACGGTAAGACTCTCCCATGTCCCGAATGTGAAGATGAGTATTACTCGGTTGTCTTAATAGGCATTGTGATTAATAGAAAATATAAAAACTTAAAAAGATTGAGCTTAAATCATTTATAGTCGCTTATTTAAAATTTAATATCTGAGTTTAAATCATTTATAATTACTTATTTAAAATTTAATATCTTACGAACTTTTATAGTAACTATATAATAACCGTATACAGTAGGATTATTTGCCCGAATACCATATATGATATATATTTTTCGTTATAATTTTTTTGGATTGTTTTGAAAACAAAATTATTTTTGAAAATTTTAAGCTATTTAGTAACTATTTCATTCCGTTTGGTATCTTTATTCAACTTTTTGAGGGATTCTTCACCACAAAACCAAACAGTTGGAGTGGAATAAGTTTTTTTTTATTTTTTGTTCAAGGTTCATGAATGAGTTGATTTGTAGTGGGACTTTTTTTGGATGGATGACAAAAAAATAAAAATAGATAAATAAATATTAAAAAAAAAAATCAGTGGTGATCCCCAATTTTGACATAAATGAATAAAGCCAACAGTCTCTCTTTTCCCCATTGAAATTTCATAAGAATCCATTAAACAAGTGGAGATTCAATGAAATTAATCACTTTTTGGCCCTAATTTCAGATCTTATAGGTGTCACTGTTTTTAATTTAATGTCCATTTTTGTTTCCTTTCCCTTTGGGAATATTTTTATTATTATTTTGATTTCATTGGTTCATCTTCTTTAATTTGGGTCCCACTTTAATGTGATATTTGCTTGCAAG